ATTAATATAGTTACATCAGTGCACACCTATGTTTATACCTCTATCCATAGCTTTGCTTCCTAGATCTTTCCTCTGTTTCCTTTTACCTTTCTCCTTCTCCATCATTACGCTTACTCTTCTGCCTCCTAATAATTCCTCTCAGCTAGATTGCTGTTGCTCCAACCCCTCCAGATCTCTATGTTCTCCTCATTGTTGCTTTTAACTCCTTAGTTTTTCGCCTGTCTATGGCATTGTTTGCTCACCACTCCTTTCCTCCACCTCTTCCTCCCCCCAAGTTCCTCCGGAACCTTCAGCCCCTTGCATTCTCCTCAGGCTTGCTTCCCATGCCTATACCTCTCTTTTATAGATAGGCAAAACAACAATAAGAGATAAAACAAAGAGAATACAAAATGTTGAGGTGTAACCTATATTAATCAAGAAGCACTTCACATCTTCTTTGCTCTTAACGAGCATATGCATATGCATCATTTGCATATGACAGATTATTACTCAATCTTTCTCCAACCCTGATACTGTGTCTATTTCCTACAGTCCATCTTCTTGGAGTATTGCTTAGCACACAGATTGAATAAGTATGGTGGAATGATACAACCCAGATGCAAATTTGTCCTCGTTTTAAGTCTTGCTTATTTTTAACAATTCCCTTTTTGTATTTGTACAATTGTTTAGGAATTCCCATTCTTTAAAATGTTACTTATAGTTTGATATGACTCACACAATCAAATGCTTTCGTGTAGCATTAAAACATATGTAAACATCTTTTTGGTATTCTCTGCTTCAGCCCAGGTCAAGCTGACCTCATTCCATGTTCTCTGCTGAATGGAGCTTGACTTTCTGGCAGCTCTCTGTTTATGTACTGCTGCAGTGCCGTTTAAGTTATCTTCAGCACAGTCTTACTTCCATGTGATATTAATTAATCACGTTATGTGCTTTCTACATTCTACCGGATCTCTTTTCTTTAGAAGAGGCACAGATTTGGATCTCTTTCAGTTATTCGGCCAGGTGGCTTGTCTTCCAAATTTCTTGGCATAGACATATGAGCACTTCCAGCATCACATCCATTTCTTGGAACATCTCAACTGGTATTCCATCAATTCCTGGAGTCTTGTTTTTCTGCAGTGCCTCAGTACATCTTGGACCACTTCCTTAATAACGTTGAGTCTTCATCAAATGCTACATCTTAAGATGACCTGTTCATTTTGGTTAAAGTGACTATGTTTTTTCTTTCATATTTGTTGATGCTTCTTACATTGTTCAATTTTTTTTACCATAGGTTCCTTGGCAACTCGAAGCTCCATTGTTTTCTTTTGTCTTTCAGCTTGAGAACTGCCTAGCATGATCTTCCTTTTTAGTTTTCTAACTCTAGATCTTAGCATATTTTGTTATAGTGCCTTATGCTGTCTTCACAGGCTGCCTTTTGAAATCTTTGGTTCACATCTTCTACATAATTTCTTCCATTCATTTTACTTTGTCTGCACAAAAGAGCAAGTTTCAAAATCTGGCATCTATTTTGGCATTTTCATTCTTTCCTGTCTTTTAAATGACCTTTTGTTCTTTTATGTATGATGTCCTTGTTATCTTCCCTCAGCTCATCTCATCTTTAGTTATTGGTGTTCAGTGCTTGAAATCTGTTTTGTTTTTGAGTTAGCCTCTAAATTCAGGTGGGATATACTCACGGTCATACTTTAGCTCTTGTGGACTGGTTTTAATTTTCTTCAGCTTCAACATGAACTTATATATGAGCCATTGATGGTCTGTCATACAGTTAGACGAGGACATTATTCTGACTCATGATATTGAGCTTCTCCAATGTCCTCTTCTATAGATGTAGTTTATTTGACTCTTGTGTATTTCAACTGATAAGTCTTACATGTGTAGTCATCAGTTATGTTGTTGAAAAGGATTATTTTAAAATGAATAAGTGATTGGTCTAGCAAAATCCTCTTTGGCAGTTTCCGTTGCCATTGCTCTCACCCGATGCGTATTTTCCAGATTCTAACAAGTCTTCTTGCTTCCAACATCCACATTTAAATACCAGTAACTGTTAGCATGTGTAAATTTCTTGTTTGATCAACTTCAGGCTGCAGAATTTGATAAAAATCTTCAGTGTCTTCTTCCCTAGCATTAGTGATTGGTGCATACGTTTACATAATAGTTGTGTTAATTGCCTTTCCAAATAAATGCATGCATATTATCCTATCACTGAAAGTGTTGCATTTCAGGATATTGAAATGCTCTATTGACAATGAATGTGACACCGTTCCTGTTCAAGTTGTCTTTCCAAGTATAGTAGAGCATATGTTGTCTGACTCACAGTGGTCAATGCCAGTCCATTTCAGCTCAATAATGTCTAGCATATTGATCGTCAAACATTTAGTATCTTATTTCAATTTCACTTTCTATGGTATCCAACTTTCCTTGATGCATACTTTGTAGATTCTATGTTTTGATTATTAATGGATGTGTGCAGCTATTTCTTCCCATTTTGAGTTGTGCCACATCAGCAAACAATGATCTCTAAAGCTTTATTCCATTTACATAATAAAGATTGACTATTTTGAGAAGGCAGCTCTTGCCTCATTGTATTTTGAGTATCCTTCAACCTGAGGGACATATCTTCAGGCTTATTTCACCACATGTTTGTAGGCTAGCCATAAGGGTCACCTTGACCACTGTTTTCAGAAGTAGATTACTATATCCATTTCCTAAGTCTCTCTTAGTTTGTAAGCTCTGCTGAAACTTGTCCACATGCTGGTATTTGTAATACTCCTGGCACAAGAGCAAAATTACTTACTAACAAATAGAAATAACCACCATGTAATAGATACAGCCTTCATAATTCTTGATAGGAATTGTACTATGGAGTAGTTCATTCGATATTTCTATGTGTGTTTCCTTGAACAACCATGTAATATTTTTAGGAGTGTTTTAGAAGTTTCAGATTTTTACATTTCAGATGGGCTTCTCCTCATTTGAGGTGAATTCATTCTTGAGTGTGGCACAAGTATGGACAGGCCAACGGAACATTTATAATGTCCCACGGACAACTGGTTTCAAGTGAATAAGCCAAACACTCGTTCTTACGTGTGCCAAAGAAAGTGTGTCATCATCACCTTTCACATATCCCATGAGATGCATTCACAGTTTACATTGACTGTGAAACTGTTCACCCCTGGGAGCTCTGCTTTATTTGTTCTGGATAATAGGACACTTGCAACCTATTAGCAGTTGTAAACAGTTCTTTCAAGTACATCTGACTTAGCAATTATGAAATGTTATGTCTTCAATGAGTTTATAGGATTGAATCAGGACAAAGATGGAGAGTGGATGACCATAAAAAGTTTGTGCCTTGAATAATTTATCTATTGTTTAAAAAGGCAATGTATGTACTGTAGATCCTAGGATTCAGAATTCTATTCAGGAGTAAATCCAATTTAATGGATATGTTTAAAAATGCATGTATATTAAGTATATAGTCTAACACAGACCCATGTTTATACGATGATTGTCTATTTAATGAAACATGGTTAAATAAGTCACATAAATGACTTAGTTAACAAATCTCAAGTTTAAAAATAACAAGGTAAATAAACCCAGGATTAGAGGGAGGGAGAGAGGGAGGGAAGTAGAGAAGAGTGGATTGGGGGTAGGTGGATAATAGATAAGACAGCAGATTAACTATGAATGAGGTCTCCCTGTTAAATTTTTCTTTTGTTTTGTTTTTTCAGCCAATGTTTTCAGTTGCACCAAGCTTAGCCACCAATGCATCAGCGGCCTTTAATCCCTACCTGGGACCTGTGTCCCCCAGCCTGGTTCCAGCAGAGATCTTGCCGACTGCACCAATGTTGGTGACAGGGAATCCTGGGGTACCTGTACCTGCAGCTGCTGCAGCTGCTGCACAGAAATTAATGCGCACAGACAGACTTGAGGTAAGAAAGAATGAGTTAGTTTCTTTTTGTTGTCCATTCTACTTCTCAAGCTGTCTTTATTTGCTTGCTTGCTTGCCTGCCTGCCTGCCATGGCCTAACAAGATTTTTACAAATTAAATGCTGGCATTTGGTTTGCCATTTGGACATGTTCCTAGGTTATAGGTATACTAAACTTGACTAATGCTATGTTCATAAAAGAGTCCTTGGGCTACTAAAAGGGTCGAGGTTCACATCTGCACAGAGAGACCACAGAAAAAAATCTTGGTGATCTACTCAGAGAAGATCGCAGCCATCGAAAACCCCACAGAATGTGGGTGCACTTACACCTGGGGTCACCGTGATTCAAAGTGGACTGGCTAGAAGCACTTCTTTTCTTTGTTTTTAATATTTATAAAGGCCCAGGTGTCCATTTGTAGAATAATAGCGAAGTTCCTAGAGTCTGGACCACCAGGTACTTCATTCTGCCTCAGTTTCCTCATCTTCCAAATGCAAACAATAATGGCATCCACGTCAGAGAATTAGAAATGGTTGGCACATGACAAGTGCTACTTGAGCATCAGTTGTTTTTGCTGCTGTTGTCTTGGCTGCTGCTGCTGTTGCTGTCATGAACAAAACATCCCGTCAGTCTTTGTTCTCATAAAGATGTTACAAAGATGATTTTGTTGCTATCTAAAGCATTTTAAGATGTATTATCAGAAGCCTCACAATATTTTGGTTGAATTAGGAAGGTCCTTTTGTTTGTGAAGTTATGCTCTTATAAAAGTTGGTAAACAGCACAGCACGTGGTGCTCCGCACTGCACAGAGAAGGAGAATCAGATGCACATGCCTTGCTGCCGCTGCCTGGGAAAGGGATTAGTGCCATAAATCTGACTGTGAAGGTGGTACTTTAGGGTTCCAGTATGCTGTGAATTAATGGACTTGGTAAACTGTAAATGCAGGGGGAAATTGGCAAGAGTATTGTGCATGAAAGCCAGAAAGCCTGGCATCGGTGTTCATCAAGAGACTAATGACCTTTTACTCTTTTTCTTGCCCGTTAGGATGAGGCAATACTTAGTGCAGAGAAGTTTTGCATGCATTAATTATGGAGAAAGCAGCAAAATAAGGCTATTGTAGGAACATAATTAGCTCCAATGACTTATTAGTTCAGCAGCAGTTTAGTGCATAAATATCAATTTCTTAATTAAGTTCTATTGCATATCTAATACAGGATTTCACATTGTAGCATATTTATAGCTGCCACTACTTTTTTGATGATAATAATTAGTTGTGATAATTAGTTAATATCTATTTATTTATTACACAGAAAACCTTCAACAAGAAGTCCCTGGAAAAATTGTATCTTTCCATTCCATTTTGCACAAACTTTTGGAATCAATTTTTCACACCAGACCTTATCAACTTTTTACCTGTATTACTCATTTGATCACCAAAATAATCTCATGTGGAAGGTGTACCATTTTACAGGGAAACAAATTTAGGTGTAGAGCTATGCAGGCTTATTTAGGATGATTCTATATGGACTGGAACTGAGAACTCAATTTTTAAAAACTGTATTAGTCACCAGCAAGTGGTAATGTGGAAGAGGTGGTAACATATTTTGGCTTCTGTATATTTTTAAAGGATTTTGTATTTGACGCTTATTTTTTAACCTCACTGAAATTTTGGAGAAAGGGACCACTAATTATAAGAGTACCATACGCAGTGCTAAGGATGTAGTCACCATACTGGACCTCATTGTGAGTTCTCTGTGGACTAAGGGCTCAGCTGTGTTTCAGTGAAACTCCTTGACTTCTGGGTGGTTTGCTATTGCTCAGCTGCACATGCTCCTTAACGATGAATGCTGATGGCAGACAAATTAAGAGGAGATGAAATTTTTTTTTAGTATTTTAAATTTATTGGATGCCCAATATGTGAAGCAGTTTCTACCATCCCTGCTCCCTGACCTCTCTGGAGCACACCCTGGGGTTTTAATGTATAATGTTGATTGATAAATGAGAATCAAGCCAGTCGGAAATAAACTTTAATGAATTAATTATTAATAGGGTAGCATATTCCAAAAGCTGAGAGTTGAGACTTAAAAAAGGCTGAGCTATGTTGTCAAAGCTTTTCTAAACCAATCTTCTAGAAATTTCAGGTGGTCTATAACTTGGATATCTTTTGAGAAGCATTTAATTGACATGAGGGCTTTTGTCTCAATTTTGTTTTTCTTTCTGAGCAGAGCTACTTCATGTATCTTTTGTCTGTTTTCCTTTACACAAATGTTTCCATTTTCACAACAAATGGCTGTGGTTGCATGATCTGCTGTTTCCTTTTGACCTGAATTCCACTTATCTAAATGCTTAATAGCAGTGCAGCTTTCTAGCTTCTGTTAAGAGAATCTGATGCAATGTCACAGTCACAACCTGTTAGGATTTGCCATGTGAAGTTTAGAAGCATGGCTTGCTGCTCTTTGCTTTTGATTTTGGACAGTCTTAGTGTTGAATTTTTTAAGAAGCCCTGTTTGCGCAGTGTTTAAACACTCAGATGCTAACTGAGAAGTCAGTAGTTTGAACCTAGCAGCAGCCACTCCTTGGGGCTTTCATACAGCTGTTCATCCTTGGAGGTCTATGGGACAGTTCCACGCCTTCAGATTCTTTCCCTCTTGCTGATGGCAAGGAGCCCTGGTGGTGCAGTGGATGTTGCATCGGGCTGTTGATCTTAATGGCAGCACTTGGAACCCGTCAGCCACTCTGAGGGAGACAGGTGTGGCTTTCTGGTCCTGTAAAGATTCGGTCTTGGAAACCCACGGGACCTCCTGTAGAATCCTATAGGGTCTCTGTGACAGAGATGGGCACTACCCATTGACGTTTGATAGCCCTGGGATAAATGAACGTATTTATACGGATTGGCCGCATGTTTATTGTTAGTTTAAATTCATATTGTCTTTTTTCCTCATGGAACTCTGCAGTACATTTTAAAACTTGAGTTTGTTCTGATGCAAAACTTTTCTAATTTAGTTAAAATATTAGCCAACTCTTAATTCCACCTCTCTCTCTCTTGCTACAATTTAAGCAATAAAGAAAAAATTTAAATACTATATATTAGCTTTCAAGTGTTCTCAACAAATATTGGCGTATATTTTCAGCATCCAGTATGACACGATAAAAATTTTAAACAGAAGTTAAAGGATTAATTGATTATTAGGTGAGTGAGTATAGGCCAAGTGTGCAGTGTTCTCTGGGTATTAGAAGAGACTTCAGAAAGTTCGTGGAAAATTTTCATTGGTTTCCAATTCCATAGACTTTTCTAAGTCCCTCATATATCCTTGTCCATAAAATTAAGGGAATGTACCTCGTAATTCCTAAAATGACTTCTTGTTGGAACCTTATAGGGTAATTTAGATCCTTTTCTTGCTTTCAGTGCCAGTGACAAGCTATTGGAAATTTTAATTAAACATATACAGCTATATTTCATGTCAATATTTATGATCGCTAATTTTGTTGGGTAACTTTTAAAAGGGTTTGTAATCACATATTTTTTAAACTCTAAAACCTAGTCTACATATTTTCATTTAAAGAGGAGTAAATATCTTAAATATCAATAACTATAACTTTTGAAGAGTTTATTGTGACCTTGAGATGTCATTCTGTAATTTCCCCCAAAATTTATTTTCTATAAATAGTTAAAGAAATTACTAAAATGTGGTGGGCTAGCGTTGGACTGCAGACCACAAGGTCAGCAGTTCAAACCCAACAGCTGTTCCATGGGTGAAAGAGGATGCTTTCTACTCCCATAAAGACTTGCAGTTTCAGAAACACACAGTAGCAGTCCTAGTTTGTTTTGTAGGGTGGTGGCTCTGAGTCAGAATTGACTTGATGGCACTGAGTTTTGGCTTTTTTTTGGTAGTCAAAACTGGAAAAGATAAGACTTTTCAGCCCTATCCCTGCTTCACTGCAAGGAGTTAGCAATTAGATGAATCATTTTCAGAGTTATATTCAAGACGTACAGTAGTCATTGATAGGGTAAAAGCAATGCATGACGAATGCATTCCTTCCCGGGTTTACTCTGCAATGTCCAATGAAAAACGATTGAACACCTTTCAAATGAAAGACATTATGAAGGCTGTCTTTGAAGTCTCTTTAGTGCTGTCTTATCAGTTACATGACAGAATAATGTCACACTCGTATTAGTGCCCGGTGATTCACTAAATGAATGGAGAAATGAACCAGTCATCCAAGCAACGAGTCCATTCCTTTTCAGAGATGCATGCATGCCCTAGAGGCCCTAAGAGACATCCAACAGGAGATAAAACACTTAAAACAAAATTAGCTTGTGGGAACTTTCAGCAGTTGTTCTCAACATCGGGCACAGGCGGTTATTTTGAATGACAGATGATGGCATTTTGTTCATGTTCCTAGATCTTAGAATCCCTTGGAGTGATTGTTAAAAATGCAAAGGTCTGATAGTCAATGACTGGTTCAATAGGGTTGCGTATGGATTCTGGAATTTTATTTTAATAGGTCTGCCAGTTGATTCCAAAGGCAAATGGCCTACAAAATACTGTTCCAGATGATACTAGTGCTCATTGTTGAAGTTTCAACTTTCCATCATTACCTCGAATAAAATTATTTGTGATTTCTGAAACTCAGTATCTGACTCCTCCAATACACTTTTTAGTCTTCGTTGAGGTAAGTTGGTGAGAACGCAGTGCACAACTTAATGAAACATTTGGGGTAAACAATGATGATTGTTAAGGTAATTTACATTACCTTTCAGCATTCATCAAACAAACCACAAAACACAACCAAAAACCAAACATACGGTGTTGGTGTTGATTTCAAATCCTACGATCCTGTAGGGCAGTGTAGAGTTGTCCCACAGGGTCTCCAGAGCTCTAAGCTCTACGGCCGCAGACTGCTGGGTCTTCCTCCTATGGAGCGCCTGGTGAGTTTCACCTGCCAAATTATCTGTTAAAAACTGTGCATTTTAACCACTGGTTCACCAGGACTATTTACAATAG